TGACGCCCAGACGCACCCCTGCTCGGTTTGGACTGTAGGACACCCCCTGCAGGTTAAAGCCCAACAACCAATCATGTTGGCTCCTCTACACTCATTATCATCCAGACCAGGACCACAACAGCACAAGCAAATGCAGTGTAATTTGCAGCTGCCATTTGTCCCTCACAGCATGGCCAGAATCAGCTGCAGTTCATGTACAGACCACTAGAGTGAGAACTTGTATAAGGCACAAGACTGAAAGACGAGCCAGGTCCATCAAAAATGCCGCCCTCCACCTTCACCAGCCGATAGCTGTTTCCATGATGCATTTTAAGGAATAAAGGACTGTTGTTTTTTTTGTATATTCAGTATTTCTATGTTGTCATTACAGATGTGTTTTTACAGATGTCTATACTGTAATGATTTTACCTGAGCTAGAAACATTTAATTTTCTATCTTCTGTTAAATTTCGAGTGTGTTACCAGAGGGAAACTGATAAATGGTGATCTAATTTCAATGTCTTTAAGCTCTTGCATTTACTGGTTCTTGTGCTGTCATGGCTTGAGCAGCATGTGTGCCACCATGAAGTGCTCCTCTACAGACTGAAGCACTATTCAAACTGTACTTGTGGCACGAGTGTCTTCAGACTCTAGAGTTGTATTGTAATGCCCCCTCAATACACACACATGCACACACACACACACACACACACACACACACACACAGAAGAACAACACACTCATGCAGGCGTAGGCAATTGACCTTTTTCTACTTTCTGTTAACCTTGTTCCAACAATGTAATGTACCACAGCTCTGCTTCATACAAAACATTATCACGCTGGATTAAACATATCAACTGTTTTATTTTCATGGTCCTTGTGTTCAAAATAGCACACGGTTTCCTTTGTGGTTTTCCTCTAAACAAATGTTTGCAAATGTGTCTTTTAAATGGGTAAATCTCTTTGTTGATGTGCGCCCTCCTCTGCCCTACCAGCTGATCAGAATACCGTGCAGCTTCAGATAGACTGGTCTATCTGTCACAAAACCGTTTAGCGAGGGCCATGTTTGGATAGTGACAGTGGTTCTGTTGTCTTTTTTTTTTTCATACATGGATCTGAGGCAGCAGAAAGGCTGCTAATGGGTTTTTTTTCTCTCAACATCTTTTTTGTAAATGAAAAAAAAATAAATGTTAGCTATTTTTTTAATCCAAGGTGATTTCATTTGATATTGTAGTCACTAATGTGTTCTGTGCACTGCAAGTGCCTAACATAATTATGTCATTTAGATGCACATTTTTAAGTTAGTGTTGCAGTGACATGAATGATAGCTCAATAAGTGAAAATGATGCAAATTAGTTAAGGCTATATAAATTGTCTCTCTGTGAAAACAAAACAGGTGAAAGGTTAATTTAGAAGTTCTCAGCTGTGCAGATACAATATGTCTACAATCATTTCTACAGTCAGATACGGAAAAGATAACAGAACTTCAGGGGTGCAACAAATGATTATTTTCATTATCAGTTAATCTGCTGATGACTTCTGGATTCATATTTTCTTCCATAACATTTCAGAAACAACTTTTATAATTTCTTAGAGCCCAAGGGAACCTCTGCACCTAATGATCATTTTCAGTATTGAATAATTGTTTGTCATTCATAAAAAAAGCCTAAGGTAACATCTTCTTTTGTTCGACCAACAGCCCCAAACTCAAACCCTGACTATTAAGAAGTTGAAACCACAAAATTTTTCATATTTTTGCTCAAATAATGACAAAGGATTATTAAAATAGTTGCCAGTTAATTGCTGTTGACTGATCTTCAATCAATAAAAAAGCAGAAAATCCTCACATGAAGCTAAAGCCATATAATGTTTGACATTTTGCCTTGAAGAGTGACAAACAATTAATAGATTATCAAAATGGTTACTCGTTCATTTTCTGCTGATTAAATGATTTCAGCTTTACTTCAAATTGTTTTCATTTTTTGTTTGACCAACAACCTAAATCTGAAGATACTTTGCCAAGGTCGCTTATGTATGACAAAGAAAAGCAGCAAATCCTCACATTTTACAAGCCGGAACCAGGTAACGTTTGGCATCTTTTTTTCTAGATTGATTATAAAAAATGGTAACGGTTAATTACTTTTTTGTTGATCAGCTACAAAACTTGCACGTACAAGTTAGGACAGACGATGCTGATGCTGCATTACTTGGTTGGGAAAGGACTTCCAGGTATCCCACACATTTTCATGGACAAAATTTCAAAATTTTTCCAAAACTTCTGAAGGACCCGTAATACGATTTAATGAACATTCACAGTGTATAACATGAACAGAACTGTGTGGTATGATAATTATTTCATGAAAACTAAGCAGCAGCCTTTTCCAATCTAATAGGTGGTTATGTTTGTTAGCTTACATGTTGAAGAGTACTCGAACAATTAATTTTATTGCAATGACTTTTACAGACCTGGATAATGGGATTGTGAAATTCCATGACTATTCCAGGTTTTCCATGGCCGTGGGAACCCTGGACTTCACAAGATCTGAAACTGTATGAACAGACTTGTGGGGAAGGTTACTTTTGACATATAATAGGTTGAAGATTATAAGTTACACTGTTAAAACTAATAAGCAATGTAAGTAATGTAACTTATTATATCTGATTACTTTTCTAAGAAACATTTTAAACTGGGTAAAAGAGCTGAAAAGTCCTAAAAACATGAATGCATAAATGTTACACTCAAATTTGTCGTAATGTCTCGTCCTGAAATATACAAAGAAGAAGTTCCTGCATGATGAAAAGACGCAGAGCAACAGAATGAATGTTGTAGTCTACATATAAACTTTTAACCAAAAGCATTTACATTTTGGAAGTAACCCCTTTCTAATGATCAACATTGTGAGCTGTAAATTAAATTACATATTTTTTCTCAGTAACTGACTACAGTTATATTGACTTTGTAATTTTAATACGTAGCATTGTTACATGTAACTGGTTCATTTTCCGACACTGCCTAACAGTCGAGCATTTGCTGAACTTTTTCTTACAACTAACTTGAGGTCAGAGGGGTCATTTGCCTTCACAGCAGAATATGTAAATATAAACATGGAGCAACCCAAACACAGAAAACTCCTGTGAGCTACAAACGTAAAATGGTCTTAATGAAATTTCCAGCTGTTTTCACTGCCGGCTTCACAATTGCAAGCTGAGGCGAGTGAAACTGATCAGAGAGAAACAAAAAGCCCGGGTCCGTCCCTCCCTCACTCAGGCTCTCGCAACCCACAGATGTCACACATCTACATGAGTGATCCCTGGGCTTTGAAACCTCTCAGCTGTAAAGACGTTGGTATGCTTTAGATGAAGAGCCAGACTATATGTGGGTGGATCTTGTGTTTGACTTTATTGAAGCTGTATGTAAATCTTCAGGTCACGAGTCTGTTGAACAAAAGCCTGGATGGTGTTCAAGCGTCTTCATCACGGTTAGGTTGACATTTCTTGATGTCTCTTAGCTCAGACCGCTCTTACTAGCTGGCATCAATTTGGAGGGAAAAGACAAAAAAAAAAAAAAAAAAAGACGCTGGCCTGCCTGTTATTTCTTCAAATGTAGTGAGCAACAACTAGTGGTGTTTTTTCTCTTGGCTGAATCCCTCTGCGGCGCTCCTTTCTTGTTGGTCAGTGATAGTGTGTCTCACTGTAACCCTCATGCAAATAAGCATGATTATGAGCATTCCCTCGACCCCCTCAATTCTCCAAGTCATCTTGATTGAGTGTGGCAGGCGGAGGAGGGGATGGATATAATGGACTCCACCAACTTTAATGAGACAAATCTCAGCTATGGGCTGACATTTTGAAATAGTCCTTGTGAATGACAGTGTCAGCAGTCACCTTTACCAAAGCTTTCCAGGGATGGTCCCTGTAATGATGGAGGGAATTAAAATGGCCTCCAAGGCGCCGGAGATGGGAACCACAGGATTAGGGTGCAAAGCCACGCCTCTTAAATGGGCTCTCCTGCCACACCCCAAATAAAGTACAGCTCTCCTCTGCCGACTGCGTATTGCCAGCCTGAGATTTGATGGAGGGATTAAGGTGAATGTTCGTTGTTGACCACTGTGAGATTTGTTGAGATGAGCCGTCCCTCACATTAAGTGCCCCGCCCTTGCCTTCCTCTCATTCTTCCCCCTTGTTGTGTGTCTGGTGGTAGACAGGGACAAGCTCTGCTGTCATTACAAACTTAATAAGAGCAGAAGTGAGATTGATGAGAAAAACAGAGGCATCAACTGCTCTTTTAATTAACTCTTGTCCCATAATGGTGCCGGGACGGAGGCGCTGAGCAAAGACTGAGACATTTTCTTTCTCTTTCCACCCCTTTCTGTTTTGTTGCCTCGCTCACCCCCGATAATGAACAGCCTTCTGGGACCCAATTACATCCAAGGCTGCATTAGGAGCACAGCAGGCCCAGTGGAAACTTCAGCTGAGTTTTCCCTCATACCCCCCCTCCTCCACTCCCTGTTACCCTGCTGGAGATGGCCTTCACTTGATTGAATTTTGAATGTTACACCCCCCTCACCCCCCTCCCCCTCTCTCTCACACACACACACACACACACACACACACACACACACACCATCTTCTGTAGTCCCTTACCTTCACCAGCTCTGAACCCACATGTGGTTTATGATGGAAGCAGAAGGCAATGCGTGCTTGTTGTTGTCTGTCCTTCACTAGATAACTAATTGTACTGATGGAGTGGCTTTGTCCACAATGTGCAATAGGTGGCGCAAATTGGTGCACTGAAGTCTGTTTGTGTGTTTTTTCTCTGCAACATAATGAATACTGTTGTGAGGACTTGTGACAAAAGATCAGAATTAGGTAGTTGTTGTCTTTTCAAACTGAATAATCACTGATGGGATCCATTCAAGTCAGTGATGTAGATTATGTTGCGTCAATGAACAATACATTTTTATTTTTTTAAATCAAAGGCAACAAAGCAAAATTATACATTTCTTTCTGCTGTAACAAATTCAGTTGGTCAAGGACACAAAGACACGTGCCGCCACTTTAAATCAAGTTTAATGCCCATAACATGTCACAACCAAAACAACCTGCTCCAAAGTCTAAATACCAGTTGTCATTTATTAACACTTTTTTAAATATCAATAATCTACAGTCATGCTAGTCACTCAATAAGGTGGTGGTTGGCACAGTGGTGCTTTAACATAAAGGCTAATATTAGCATGCTAACAATGACAATGCTAACATGCTGATTTAGCAGGTATTTATCATCTTAGCTTGGCATGTTAGCACAGTAACATTTAAGTTAGCACTAAACACAAAGTACAGTTGAGGCTGATGGGAACATCATTAGGTTTGCAGGTATTTGGTCATAAACCAAAGGGATGGATAAATTAAGTCACCAAAGTTATTACAATTCATCCTCTGAACGTCTGTACAAAATGTCACGGTTATCTATTTAGTAGCTGTTGAAACATTTCAGTAACACCCAACATCATGGTGCCACTAGAGCAAAAGTCAGGGGATCGCCAAGGTCAGTCGGCCTCATCCTCTGGGCACCACTAATCTCATATTCAATTTCATGATATACGTTTATGAAATTTTTCTTTGGTCCTACCACAGTGTGACTAAAAAAAACCCCCGAATGCCAACACTGATTTTATTATATTCATTACCACTTCTTTGTGTTAAAGGTCTAGTAGGATCTAGTAGGATTTAGTGTCAGGTAGTGGTGAGGTTGCAGAGATTAAACTTTTCCCATGTGCCAAGCGTGTAAAAGAACTACGGTTGCTGACACAAAAACACAAATGGCCCTATCTAGAGCCACTGTTTGATTTGTCTGTTCTGGATTACTGGAGAACAACATACTGGACTCAGTGAACAGTGAATATGGACAAGGTCCTGTCCGTATGATGATATAAACAGCTCATTCTAAGCTAACAAAAACACAATGATTCTTATTTTCATGTGAATATAAACTAATAAAAACACAGTTATGAATATTATACTCCACTACTGCGAACAGATGCCCCTAAATCCTACACACTGGACCTTTAACATTTTCACAGAGTATTCACAGACACTTTACTAGAGCCTGGGAGGCCTTTGTGGGGTATGTACAGTATGTGATGGCTGAATGTCTCTTAGATGGGGACTGCCCCTAAATGCAATGCTTGGGGACATCCGAGGCATTAATAACAATTATTGGTGTTCTTTAGTTTCCTCAGACACCTTAAGTGTGGCGTATTGACTGCTATGTTGGAAAGAATGTTGCCTATTGATTTGGCCAAGGCAGAAACCGATGGTGTCCTCTTCCTGTAAGGCTGGAATTAATCCTTACATGCTGCCAGTGAGTAAATAACTTACCTACTGTGACCCCTGCGGCGGGAGAGCCGACTCAACCGCTGTATATCCTCGCTGATCACTTCTGAAAAGACAAACAAAACAAGGGATGGGCATGACTGAACTCTTGGAAAGACAGGATGCTGTGAGAAGAAGAAGAGAGACATTAGCTACTCCAATATTCATAATGTGCTACAACTCCTTCAAGAAAATACTTCAATATTATTTGTATAAATCAGCACTTAATTATTATGTTTTTTAGACATTTTTCATGAACTTTGTTTCTAGCTTGTAAAAGTCAAATTGGAATTTTACCAAACAAAACAGACACAGTTTACTTCAGTCAGTAAATGCAAGAAATTTAAGAGTGTTGCAGCATGCAGTAATGTTTTTACTGGTCCATTGTCTTATCCCTAACCAACACTTTGTGTACACTGTACTACCATGCTTGGTCTACCTCCCTGTGGACTGTACGGTTACTAACAGCTCATCCACTATTGCTTAGGGGTCTTATTTTGTTCTAGAAGAAAGACTTTATACTGTCAAACTCAGACATCCCATGTGATTGAAGGCCGATGGGCATGGAACTCTCAGAGCTGCCCTCAAAGCTGCAACAATGCCTGCTTTCACACAGCCAACTTGTGGTGGGTGGAGTGAAAGAACAAAGGCAGACTTGTTAGGGTTTAGATGCCTTTATTATTCTTTTATTTGGCTGCAATTTCTTGTCTATCTGCCCATATTCATTAAGATTTTGGCTACATTGGCTTGTGGGGTCTGTGGCTCTAAGAGTAGTTACTGTATGTGACTCAACACACATCAAGCGCTCCACTTTTCTTTTGTAGAAATCAATGTACAGAAACTTAATCATAAAAAATAGATTAATATTCCCTTAAGCTCATTGTGTATTCAACGTGCATGTGCTAAAAACTAATGAAATCAAAACACTGATGTGATTCAGGGCATTCGAACAGATAAATATGAGGGTACAAAAATAAATTATTCCAACAGCGGTCTCCACCTACATAGATAAAGTCTCTAATTATGTGAGATGCAGAAGCCTTTTCAATCACAACTGATTCAACTTTTGTTTTTTTAAGCTATACTGTACACACTCTGAAAGTATAATTAGTTGAGTCACAGCTTGCCATCTAAACACTTTGAACAAAAACACATCTGTTAAATCATCAAATTAGACTCCAAACTCAACAAAGGCACAAAATAACAAAAACTGTACTATACAATCAAGTACATACAGGTTCTTGAGTGTATAGTACAGTAAAATCATTTATGAAAACTTGGTTATATTAAGTGCTTCTCATTGCGTCTCTGCTTCTGTGATCCAGGTGTGCTTCTCTGCACACCTGGATCCTGGGAACACAGGCTTGGGGAGGTCGGCACCAGAGACTCGTCTCCTCGTCTGCTGGCTCTCTGCTCGACTAATAATCAGAACTCCTCTCGCAGTCAGAGCACAGGTAAAGCACAAGAGACTTCATTCAGACAACACATGCAATAAATTGTTGATCAAAGAGCATTAAGAATGCTGAAAACAAGGGACGTTACAATGCACTTAATCGTTATTTTTGATATCAAGCAAACAAGATGATGCCTAGGGTTAGGTTCTGTTTGAATTCTCTGGAGGCAGCTTCCCAAAGTTTGACAAAACAGCCCTGATTATGACTGCAAAATGAGTTGCAAAATGGGAAAAGCAGGATCCAGTGTTGTTGGAGCAATACACCCCTGCTACTTCAATTTTGACCTTTTGTTTTTGCGTTTTCTAACTTTATAGAAGTGCAGCAGTAAATTTCCAGAGTTCCCCTTAAAGAAATACTTCGCCCCACCAAATGACCATTTGTATATTGTTTACTTACCCCCTTACCTCATGTTGCGTTACATTTGGGTAGAAAACTTCAAGAAAATTTCTTGCATGACTGCCGAAACATCCTGGTCACCCAGCAGTATCGGTCATAAAGCCCACCCTCTCCATGTTCATGGAGGGGACATGGAGAGGGTTACTGTATTTGAAGGTAGTTTTTATCACACTGCTGTATGTAAGTTTTTGTTTTTTTCTGCTAAGTTTAGTTTTAGTTATTTAATGCTATAAAACAGGGATTTTACAACTCCTGTACTGTGTGACCCAATCAGTGGACTCGCATTCAGTGGTGCTGCTCACAACTGTTTGGACGGGTGTATAGGTGGGAAACTTGATACTGCAGAGATCGCTACTGCGTAGACTCTGGCTCCAAATGAATTCACCTGAGCAAAATGGCAGCTGCCGTATTCAGGATATTTTAGCTTCATTTTTGTACAGTTGGGGTAAGTAGAGACACATTGTCCATCTTTATATAAGGTCTGTGTTCAAAACACTTCTGCATAAACAGCGCAGGCACGCTTCTCATCTGAGACTGTTTATGTTTATTAAGTGTTTCAAATACTAATGTTTAAACAAAAATGTTTTGAAAGTACCGACGATATGAGACTTGGGTTATATTGCACAAGTTGTGGGGGCACGGTGGTACAGTGGTTAGCATTGTCGTCTTCCTGGTTTGAATCCAGGGTGGATGGTTCGAACCTCAGGGTGGGAGTTCCTGTGGAGTTTACATGTTCTCCCCATGTCAGCGTGGGTTTTCTCCAGGTACTCCGGCTTCCTCCCACAGTCCAAAGACATGCAGGATAATTGGTGACTCTAAATTGGCCGTAGGTGTGAATGGTTTTCTGTCTCTATGTGTCCTGCTACAGTCTGGTGACCTGTCCAGGGTGTACCCCGCCTCCTGCCCAATGTCAAGTGGGTTAGGCTCCAGCACCCCACGACCCCCAACAGGATAAACGAGTTTGTAAAAGGATTTTTTTTTATACTTTTGCTGTTATTAAATGGTGCCCCTATGACTTCAATTCATGAATAATTTCCTCCGCTTTGGATTTTTTGTTCACAGTGGAATCATGTGAGAAAAGCAGCATTTTCTTCATGAATTAAACCTACACAGGGTGAGTGACTGCTATACAGATGGTCATTTGAGGGGTGAAGCATTCCTTAAATTAAAAAATCCAAAGTTTAATATTAAATATTGTTAACAGCCAACACTACAAGAACTTTGGCTAAAAAAATATCACAGACAGATCACACATTTTTGTGCCTGTCACTATCACAAGTCTCAGTGTGATCTGACCTACCAGTGCACTGAGCAGGTTTCCAGCAGCTGCTGTGTCACTGAGGCCTGGTCGATATACAGTAGCTGGGGGGAGAAAACACCGACTGTCAGCTGGCAAAATCACAAGGGCTAAAATCCTGCTGTAACAATGGTGCCCAAATCCCCAATCAGCAATCGCTTGTTATGCTCTTTTCTGTGTCAAAACACTCCCTTATTACATGATTGGACAAAAAGGTTGATGGGTTTTTTTTTATTTGTAAAACAGGTCTCTAACCAGATGTAAATTCTAACAGAATGCAAATTTGCTCTGCTTATTCTGGCCGAGCTTCCACTGTGTCCCAATCCCTCTTAAGCTTCTTGTTGACCGTGTCTGCCAGCTTTGTGTACACAATTGGCTCCTCAGCAATTCCAACAGCATCGTTAATGTCTGCCCTTTTGTGCTGCTCAATTCCACCGGAATAAACAGAATCACACGTGCAAAATTATTTTCTAACACAGATAATTAGCCAAAGAAACAATCCAGAGTATGAATAATAATGTGCCTCGGTAACATTATAACTTTTAAGCATGGGAAAAGGAGGGATTTGAATGCCAAGGGAAATGAGCTTATCAAATAAAGCTTGAAAATGTGCAGTGAATGAAATGAGTCAATCATTTTAATGTGAGATGGGAGCCCTGAGGAGAATAAATAAGCAATCGTCACATCATGCAGGGAGAACAAATGAGCATGGTACACAATTAGGCAGGGTCACATTCTGCCAGAGCTGTGAGCGTGGGATGGGCTAATGAGCTGTGTGAGCGAATGTGTGTGTATGTGTGTGTGTGTCTGTTTGTGCGAATGTGCATAGGAAGAGAAAGAGGAAGTAAAAGATGAAAAAGCTGATCCCTAAGCCCTCAAAATTCTGATGTACAGACTAAGACAGCCAGACAGCCAGACACACAAGCGGCAAGTCAGGCGAGAGACAAAGACAAAAGTATGAGGGGCTGGTGGAGAAGAGGTGGGCTATCAGTTGACTTGGCATCTGGGGCAAGTAGACGTGCAGGCAGACAGAGCAATGGGCAGGTACAGCAGCCAAACAGACAAAAAGAAGAGAAGTGCCTCAGAAGGACCAATGGCACAGAGCTTTCAGAGGCGACTCATAGTTATTAACTATTCAATCACATAAAGGAGAGCTGAAGGCGTGAAAGGTTGCGGACCGAAGCACTTTTGCTTCAGTGCATTAAGAGCCTGGTCCAGCACTCTTGCTGCGTGAAAGAGAAATAGATTGCCTCCCAGGAAGATGACTGCTCAAAGGAGTTGGCTTTTTCCCCTTAATAACAGCAATCTGCTGTGAAAATCTAATCCCAAGTACCATTTACACTGAATCTAGATAACTTCTGCTCAGAAAAGCGTACAATATGAATATTTCATTCGCCGATATACAAATAAACAGAACAAGCCCCCCGTCAATCAGGGGACGTTTTTAAAGTAAGTGAACTGGAAGAGCAAATTGCTAATGAACACCATGCTGCTAGAAATCAACATTTTAAAATGGCATTGTGCGGATGTTGTAAAAGTGGCCGAAATAAAGAAAAAAGGAAAGAAAATTCTTCACAAGAGCATAAAATGTATTTGATCGTATAGACATGGGTGTACATGACCCGTTCATAAAAAGGAGAATCTTAAGTGAAACACTCACAATGTTGATGACCTGAGTGACATATATACACAGCAACAACCCAAGCATGTAGACTGTCCCTCAATTGAAGTAATAGCTCCATCTTTGGCATTTAAGTCAGATATGGACACACCCTTTAAGCCCCCCGCTCTCCTTCTCGCTGGCCTAATTCCCCCTCCTCAGTGGTGGATAAGAGGGATCAGAAATCCATCCATATGCATGGCCAACTATCTGTAGAGGGGATGTCAGGTCTCAGCCCGGCCAGCTTTCCGAAAGTACTGGTAATGACACTTAATGAAAGCTAGGGAGCCGAGCTCTGAGGGGGAAAGCCTGTATTTGTGCTCCCCCAGCCCCCACACAGCATCCAGACTGGGCCTTCAGACGCCATAAATAAACAAACGTGCTGCATGTGAATAGATGTGCCATTTCCCTAGCTTCTCTCATGCCATTCCATCCACTTATTTATCTATTTATTATTATTCCCCAGATCTCTAGTTTGCTTTCAGCCCACCTCTGTACTCCTGGCTGCCTGCAGGCTTTTTCGGTGTCCCAAAACATTAGCTGGACTTTGCTCGAGTCACCATGCAGCCCTTAATGGCTGAGTTTGCATCAGCTCTCCGCTGGTTTCCAAAAATATACACATACAAAGAGCTGTAAGACCACGGTGAATCCAGCAAATATGCAGACATGTCACAGATCTCTTCTTGTTAGCAATCACACTACTCACTCCACTTTCTCTAATGGATTAACAAGCTCAACCAAACCCCTTCTAGCCCTAGTTAGGACGTCATCTTTTAAATCGGACTCATTTGGCATACAAAGGAGCTCCTGTGCCTCCAGTGATGCAGGTGATACGGCTGAAGCTGAGAAAAGAAGGGTGAGGAGGGCACTCTAGGTGCAGTGATGCCTGTATTGAGAAAGGTGGTGAGGCTCAAAGTAAACAGAAGGAATGAGGGGATAGAGAGGCTCTTCTTAGCACAAGCCCCTAATCAGTACAGTCAACACATGGCAGATTGGGTTCACATCTTTTCCTCCCTCGCTCCCGCTCTGCCTCTGTCCTTCTACCGCCAAAACTTATCCCTTCAATCAGCCCCAATTTCCCTGCTTTCAATCTGAGAGGATATCAGATAGGAATGTGTTGCAGGCAAATGCCAGGTAACACAAATCTGGCTTACTTTGAGGCAAGGTGATATTGGCTGAGAAAAATTAGATGGCTAACACTGTGGGACACCACTCCACCAACAAATAACCCTTTCTCAAGCAACACATGAAATTCTTATTTTATTTAGAAAGCTGTAGAAGTTTCCATGGTGATGCTTGACTGACGTGTTTACTTAAAAGTGTTCTTTGTGCAGCACTAACAGCGACTGACACTTATCTGTCTGTCTGGCCAGAGGAGAGGGCGTCCTTTGGTCAGCTGGGTGAAAAGTTTGCGAAGTCTAGATGCTCAAACTGTGCCAGGGAGGTGAGACCTCTTCCTCTGCTGCACCATGTCCTTTGATCACCCACTCCTCCTGCCACCCTCAACATTTCCCAGCTAAATGCACAAATGTGTTAACAAGCTTTAGCCATCAGTTGAAGCGCGGCCACACAGGTGGGGATGACACAGGCCGGCCAGAGTTGAGCAGATTACAGTGGGGGTCATCCTGGGTGCAGGAGGAGAGAAGTGCTAAACATGGTTGTATGTAAAGGAGAGCTTCTGCTCTGTGAGATAGAGAGACAAAATGTGCTGGGGCTGCATCAGCAGCAGGACCCAGAGGCACAACCCAGGGGGGGCGGCGGACTTCAAACACTGATGTGCAGGCTGTTCGGGGCTCTCAGGCTGCTGATTTCACAGCCGGAAAACACAGACCATTAGTCACACAAACACACTGAGGCCTATGCTAATCCCAGAACAAGCAAAATCAACATGACAGCCGATAAAATCCTGGGAGTTATGCAGCAGCTTTGCTTTTCAGTGATACTGTCTGTGATGTGCTGGTGAGTGTTTGTATTGACCCATGTTTCAGATGAGCCACTCCAGAAACACTCACGCTCTGTCTGAAAGCTCACTGCTTTGTCACTGACACTGTCTCTGGAGTCGGCCTGAGCAGAAGCACAGACCATGTAGTCACAGACAGGGGGTTGTATAGATTTGCAGCCTCCTTTGGAGGAGAAATGGAGTCTTTGCCAGAACTATGATAGTTTGACAGAGTAGAGCTGTCAGAGCCAAAGTCATCAAATCATGTACTGTTTCAGGTCAGAGTCTGCCATGTTGCACTGTTAAACTTGGTCAAAGAATACAGAGGAAGTAAACCACACCAACAATAAGGAAGACTTTACTGTTTCTATAGTAAGAATTCTTGCAAGAATTCTGCACAGGGATTTTAAACTGGCCTCAGAGGCCTAACAAGGAACATGTGACATTATTGTGTTTAGAAGAAGCAACGTTTGTCTTAAAAAGTAAAAAAAAAAAATAAATAAAAAAGGTGAATAATAGTAAAAAAAAATTGGGCCTTGATTCATACGTCTGCCGTGTGCTGCAACACAAACACATCGCAAACTCAACTCACTGCAGAATGTTCTGTTTCTACTGCCCCATTTGCATTAAAGGGTGACCTAACATCAAGCTGGAAGGTGTCGTCTTCAATGACCTCTTATGGTCTGTCTGTTGCACCACTGACCACATCCACCATCACTGATAGCTGTGGTCAAGAGTAATATCCACCTTGACATCACTGCAGAATGTTGATAACTCCAAGCATAAGTATGTCACCATAAAAATCTTCTGCTGGTGTTCAGTTACTCTTAAAGGTCTAGTGTGTAGAATTTAGTGGCATCTAGCGTTGAGGCTGCAGACTGCAACCAACTAAAACTTCTTTGTGACAATCGTGTCGGAGAACTACGGTGGCTAGCTTGAAAACGCAAATAGCCCTATCTAGAGCCAGTGTTTGGTTTGTCCATTCTGGGCTACTGTAGAAACAACAGGGCAGACTCTGTGGAAGAAGACCAGCTCCGTATGTAGATATAAACATCTCCATCTAAGGTTAATGAAAACACAACGATTCTTAAAGGCTCTCTAAGTCTTCCTATGCTTGAAAAGTTTTTGTCACATACAGCAAACATCTCCTCACGATCCGCTAGCTACATGTTCTCTGAATATGCTGTGAAAAAGTCCGGTCTCTGTAAGCAGCCCAGGCTCCGCAAATGGCAACAAAAACACTTCACTTCTGTTTACGTTTAGTCTGAGTGGGCGGAAGTTCGCTGCATAGATCAGCCTCTCATTGGGCGGAACGATCCACCCACTGAAGTCCCGCCCTACCACCTCCGGTTGTGTAGCAGTTTTCAACACGTCCTTTACTAACTTTTGCGGTGTTTGACCTTGTGGGGATGTAGCCATTTTTCTGCCATGGTTCGCGTCCTGTAGGTGATATTTTTGTGGGCGTGTTACACCAAAACCTGTTTCCCCCCGGCAATATTTTTGCAAGAACGGCTCCCGGTGGGCGTATTTCTACCTTGATGGTGCACCGCGACTGGCTCTGGGTCAGCTGGGAAAGGCTTGAGGCGGAGCAGGCTCACAGCTTATGTGTTTGTCACTTTCTTTTTCATTTTAACCCACACCATGATCTTTTCCTGACCCTAACCAAGTGGTTTTTGTGCCTAAACCTAACCAGACCTTAACCACAGGGCATCATGATGATTTCGAAACGGACTTCGGAACAATGGGTTGAATATGGTCGGAACAACGGGATGTCGGACCAATGGGCTGTCGGACCAATGGTCAGTTCCCGCTGTGGCACCACCCAGAACGACTGTGATTGGTTGAAAGAAATACAAGCAGCCTGAACGTTTTTTTCTCCAATCTTAAAGTGAGAGTCGGCCCAGCCAGACCTTTCTTTTCTTGAGAAAGGTCTGGTGAGCGAGACTAGTTTACGTTCAACAATGTTATCAAACACAATGGAGCTAGTTCGCCTTTTAGCCTCATTGTAGCCTGTAGCTCTAACTGGCTCTCTGGGCACCGCGCTTATGTGTGCTCGCTTGCCCAAAACTGTGAGACATGGGCACCACGTTCATGTGTGTGTGCTTGCTTTCACTGGTCTTGCGCTGGCTGGTTGGTGCAGCCTGGACCCAAATGTTTTTGTTGCCATTTGCGGAGCCTGGGCTGCCTACAGAGACCAGACTTTTTCACAGCATATTCAGAGGTCATGTAACTAGCGGATCGTGAGGAGATGTTTGCTCTATGTGACAAAAACTTTTCAAGCTTAGGAAGACATAGAGAGCCTTTAATTTCAGGTGATTATACACAAATAAAAACTTAGTTCTGAATATTATATTACATTTCTGCCAATATATCCCCATAAATCCTCCACACTGGACCTTTAATGGCCTCTATTCAACCTATAAATGCAAGTTAAGTTGACTATACACTTGTGGGGAGTACCTGGGTCAACACCTAGATGCTGAATATAAACTTATCATACTCTTCATTACAATAATAAATCTGTTTCATATGGGTTAGCTGAAATATTTTGTGTGGACACATGTAAGAGACCCATAACAATTAATGTCAGTTATATTAATAGTGGTGGAAGGAGGAAGCTATATTCTAGGTCAGTGGTTCCCAACTGGTCCAGCCCCTGGGTCCAGATTTCTACTCAGTCATCCGTTCAAAGTCCACACAGTGTAATACATCAAGCATGATTGTGTTTGGCCATATTGTTGAGCTAGTTTGGTGTCTCCGGTAAGTAGCTGTCCATAAGTCACTCAATTTACAGCAGGAAATGGCACTTCAAAATAAAAGCACATTGCCACAATTCACTGTACTTCAATATAAAGTGTGTTTTTTACAAACTTGTGGCCAATTCAGAATGGACCCATGACCCACTTTTGGACCACAACCCACCAGTTGGGAACCACTGATCTAGGTAGCTGGTTTATGGAAATTTCACATGAAGCATATCCAAACAAAAATACAGGGTTATTACCTTTCAGTACAGAAAAAAAGGCTATTTTTAAACACATTAAAAAAACCATCATCATACAGCCACTTAAGTCGAAATAGGCCTTTTAAGGAAATATCTGACCATCGATGTCGTTTAGCAACTGCAAATTTCTTTAATCATGCCAATTATGAATAAGTATATTAAGGATTTATCAACATGTGTTGCTATGGAAAAACTGACACATATTACTAAAGGAAAGCTGGCAGTCTTTGGAAATATCTGGGGGAGCTTCATGACTTCAGGAAACAAAGTGCTGATAATGTTTAATAAAACCAGAGACTGAAGTGGGGGCGGTGCAACTGGGTTAAGATTGTAAAGTGTAATAGCCAATGTTTTATTTATAAGTAAAATCTTTTATAATTGAAAACTCAACTTAAAACATAAAAAAATCATGCCACAATATTAACATTATACTGAAGAACTCATAAGGCTTCATTAATGCTTCTGTTGTGTGATGGCCTTACATAAATAAAATGAAAACAAATGTAAAAAGTTGACATTCACAACTATATTCGTAGATGTTTGCCCAGTGACTGTATTCTCTGTGTGTGCGTACCTGGATCTTCTCCTCTTCAATCCTTTTCTCGTCAAGCTCAGCTCTAAGTCTCCTGACCTCAATTTGCCGAGCTTCCCCACCCTCCTGCAGGTGAATTCATGTGTGCCCACTTGTAAACACACATACACAAGAACAAAAAAAAGTGCACTGTATTTCACACACTGTTGCATTTGAGAGCAAAGCACATAAATATAACTCTCCTCTGTCCACTTTCTCTTTCTTGGCAGAGATGGATGATCCTCGTGCTTTTGCTCTTTTATTTTCAGTGCCAGTTTTTCATTTGCTTGCCTGCAGCAATATAGGGATATGATAAAATGTGCATTAGCTATTGTTGGGATAGAAACCAATTATTGTGCAAGTGCAGAGAGACCTCAGCAGTAATGTGGTGTGTATTAAGGCCTTACTTACGTTCCAGGACCAACTGGTTGACAGTGGAGAGCATCTTGTGGACACGAGAGCCGACTGTCTGAACACAAAACCTCCACTTTGGACTGAGACGGAGAGGGAGGGAGAGAGAAACAGGGAGTAAAGGACAGAAGCTGTGGGAGGCAAGTAAAATATATATAAAAAAATCCCATATCTACAACATACAGCTGCTGCTCTAATGTACTTCTGTTTTTACAGACTCGAGCTTGGAGTTTACAGCAGAGAAAGGGGCACTAAGAAGCAAGAGGACATTTATGGTGTTAGACTGATGGAGCCCGTGTATGTTTTTTTTTTGTTTGACCTGGACTACCTTAAACTCACAGCTATCCCTGAGAGATACTATCACTACCTTTATTAAAATGACACCCTCCTCCCACACTGCCAGCAATGCCTGCTACAATTTGTGCCACTGCAAGTTGGACACTCGGCTCTGGTGAAAGCCTGAAGGAAAAGGGAACATGATGAAAGATGGTGTGAGCAATGGTTACTCGCAAAAGAATAATACCAATAATAAATGAGCGTAATTGTCATGTTTTTGGAATATGATTAAATACCAGAAATATTATTTAAAAAAAGAACATATACAGTCAAAGGTGTACATTTTGTTTCACCACTGGGGGGGACGGACACATGAAACGGGGAGTTTGGGATTGCTCTACCGGACAATGTTGAGCATCAAACCCTTAATTCCCTGCACTCTGGTGAATTTTCATGCACCATTTATAGCGTAAATGTCAAAATAAAAGTCTTCTGCTACTTTCATGTTTTATGGGGGGACATATGCACATTTTCTACATACCTAGGGGGGCATGTTTCCTGCATACCTCCTGAAATCTACACCTACGTTTACCGTACATATACTAAAAACATGCTGGAGTATCTTTATGTATTCATTAGGAAAGTGCAGATCTTGAGGATATTTTAGGAGAAGTAATTTAAAGTGACGAGGGGACGACAAACTTTATTGTACCGCAATTCAAACCACAGGTCATTTGATGATCCTTCACCACTAAGACCTCTATTTTCCTCAGTATTGTGCACAGGGGATGCAATAAGTTAGAAACATGTCCCTCATCCAAGGGCCGTCACCTCTCCACTGCTTCCGAAGCCAAGTTATTGCCAATGCCATTAACACTGCCTGCCCGGCTCCTCCCTTTGTCAGGCGATGAAGTCATTTTTAATAATGTTTATGCATTTACTTAGCATTCCGCTCAATATCATAGTTTGCATATAGCCAGTCAGACTAAGGATCTATGTCTCTGCCACTGATGCTGCCACTTTATATTTGTGAAACATTGGGTGGTGTTCAAAACTAGAATTCTGGTGTAGCATTACTTCAGCGACTTGTTGTGGAGAAATGAATTATAGAATTTGTGATAAAAATCTGTGCACAGCCTGTCAGTGGCTACCTTGTTGTGTCACTTGTCTCCCCCAGCTTCAGCCCCACAGCCATTTCCTGCTAGTCAGGGAGACGGAGGCTGTGAGCACACCACCGCCATCACAATGACCTTTCCACAAGCCCAGGGAGCACGCAATGCAGAGGAGAGGCAATAAAAGTAATGAAAGAAGCAAAGGCAATTAAAGTGGTGTGTGTGAGGGGAGCGTGGCGGAGATGAGCCTAACTGGAGGCGGCCCTGGAATGCACTACAGCTCCACATCCCCCATAATCCCTGTGTGATCACTGAGCAACCCTGGTGTGCTCCCAGTCTGATCATCCTCTCGCAGCATTCACCAGCTAATCCGTGCAAAAGGACAGCCATGCACATACACTGCTCGCACACACGCACACGTATTAAAGTCATTCAGAGATGCACACATTTCCACACTCACTGCCGGGGTAATTATTATAGGCTGCATACAATATGTGCTGCACGACAAAATGAGGAAACTACTAAAAATAAATTACCAAACACAAACACAGGCGCAAATGCACACATATGTTTAGTTCTAGAAAATGAGTTGCACTCCTCCCGCCCTCTGCAGCACAGTGTTTCCTCGTGGCCAGTGAGAATCATTAATGCCCTTCCTCTGATGCAGCCACACAACCAACAGCAATTATTTCTAAAAGCAAAAAGTGAAAACAGACGGCGAACGCACAAATATACACGGCACATAATCATTATTTTTTTGTTAGGCTGGCTGTGTGGGGGTTGAGGAGGTGGCAGCAGCTTGGACTTCATTTTCTCTAGCGGAGTTTACTGACCGCAAAATGACAAGGATGCTTTTCCTAAACCAATTAAGAGGCTGCAGTGCTGCTGTTACCATGTGACATTGACAGCACTTAAGGAGGCTGACGCCAGGCCTTAGAGATGAGCCAGAGATGTGCTCTTGGCTCAGGAGTCAGCACACACACACACATATACAGAGAAAGACACATGTATGCCATCATGCATCAACAGTCCAATACATCAATAAAAGGAATAGCACAGAAGAGCAGCAAGAAACAATGTGGGCACCTGAAACTTCACACCAAAACAAATATACGCAGAATAAAATACTAACACATGAGCTTGCAGTATTGAGTGAGTGGCTAAAATAAAATGTAAAAAATCTATCCAGCTGGTTATATCAGAAAGCATTAAATACAAGTGAACATCCAGGCCTTGAGTCCGGAAAAAGACCTCATTATCTAATCAGCTTTAGGAATACAGAGAGAGGGCAAAGCTACGAGTCTCCCCTTTTCTTGACAACAGGATCTGATCTTGCCTGTAGAGTACAATTAGTGAGCAGTGTGACCTCTGGAGGTTACGACAGAAAAAGGCTGTGTGGTCCACGCTAATGATCAGAATGGTCTGTGAAGGAGCCAACATTGTGCCCCTTCTTCGTTATGGCTATCTTAAACTAATACCCACTGTTGAGAAAGGAGATGAGACGCCTTTTCCTTCCTATTATAGAGCACTCACATCATAGTGGTGCTTGGGGCTTGTAGGGCATTGGCTGGTTAAAGTGCTGCTTAAAGAGGGGAAAGCTGGTGTGTAACTAGGCCTGATCAGTATCAACTGTGGTCCTGGCTGCTCAGATGCTGGGAGCAGTGTTGAGCAACAAAAAGTGCGTATTACGAATCTGCAGCTCACCATGTGAGTGTCTGCGAGTGGCCTTTAGTCTGATCATCGCTTTGTTTTGGTGCTTAGTCTTCTCCTGTTGGCCTTCTGTCTGTCAGCGGGAAGCTGCTCTGCTGCAGATGGGACATGACTGAGGAAGCCCTGAGACACATGTGAGGGAAAGAAAAATGGTGATCCTTTTTCTAAGTATGAGCTAAATTATTTTTTCTCCTGTGTTTATGATTCAGGAACAGGTGAAAAATAGTTTTTCTCAAACTGTGAAACAGGTGGACAAAAGTTTTGCCAGCTGGAGGGAAAAAAAAGTATGGCCAGGAACGTTTTTCTAAGTTATCATTTTTCCATGTGTGAAAATAGGTGAAAAAATAAAAAGGTTGCCAGGTGAATATTTTTTGTGTCAGGATAATTTTCTGAGTGTTTGCTGTAATTCACATTCAGCCACAACATGCTGAAGTGCCCTACTACCCCATGTTCTAAATATGACTAAAAGAAATCCTCTTTCCAAAGTTTTCTTCGCCTGTTTTCACAAATGAAAAGAAAGTAACTTGGAAAAATAATCCTGAAAAAAATGAAGGAACTAAGACTGATTATTTTGGCAAAACCTCTTTTTTCCCCCTGTTCTTAAAGAAGTATTTCACTGCTGAAAAGATGGTCTTTTCATAAAACTTTGCCGTCTCTGCAGTAGGAAGATGCCACTACTTTTGGAATTGGTGCTATATGACCAGAGAAAACAGAAGAAGGACTGTGGTGTTTGCTTTGGGTCAGAAGATAGAAAACCTACAACTACCAGAATGCACTGCATGTGGCGCACCTGACTAGTTAACACTCCCACTGGTGGGTGAAGAATGGGAGATGGTTCATTTTGACAACGGAAACAATATGGCGGCCAGCTAATTACAAACAATGTTGTATTACAATTACATTATTACATACAGTTACACACAGTTACATATAGTGTGCTGTAGAGAGGAAAAGAGAGAGTAATAAAGGGGGACGAGTCTCTCTCCACATACGCTTTAATACTCTTTTTGTCCGTGGCGCCGCGCATACAAAAATGTGGAAATACAATCTGTAGTTTAAGCAACAGCCCTAAAGTCGGTGAAAATTGAGCTGAGAGATGAGCAGGGCGATCTGGGTGTTGGTAAGATGGAGGGAAGTTTACCACAGTTTACTGACACACACTACCCACACTGTTACGACCCACAGCTGGTTAAAAATTGTCAAAGTATCCCTTTTAGTCATAGACACATGCGAGAAAACAGTTAAGATCAGCGTTACAAAGGGGATCACAAGAATTTTTTTTCACATTTGCCTCTCAGGGCTTCAGTACATACGTAACATAGAGAAGACTTGCCACTCTACAGGCTTAGGCCTCAAAACCTTAAGTGGACTTGGGACTTGACTTCAGACTCTGCACAGAACATCATACACTAACAGCTACCTGCCCTGGATGACATCCTCACCTCCTAGTGCCTGCAGAAAACACATAACATCCTAGAAGACTCATTCCATCCTGCTCATCAATCATTTGAACTGTTGCCCTACCAAAAACACTACAGGTCCATCAAAACATGCATCACAAGATCAGTCTCAACCCCAAAGCCATCACTATACTGAACTCTTGCGTATGAAGGGCAAGTACAAATGTGTAGAATGTGAGTGGAATGGAGGCATTTATTTATTCATTCTTTTACTATTTATTACTTAGTTTTATATATGAGACCGGTCCTTGAGTGCACCTGAATTTTGTTGTATGTTTGTACATTGACAATAAAGAAACCTGAATCTGAGTCAATCTGACCTAGGACTTGACTCACGACTTGCCTGTCTTGACCTTGGTCTTGACTTGGGACTTGAGTGTAAAGACTCAAGGCTTACTTGTGACTTGCAAATCAATACCTTGGTCCCACCTCTGCTGTCTAGTGCACATTTTTTTGTTCATGCTACATGGAGTAAGGCCGATAACCACGTCCCTGATACAGATAAGTGACAAATTAAAGAAAAGA